TGAAGGGATTCAGGGAAACTGGCAGGCCTGACTTTAGTCCTGGAGATAGGAAGTACAGTGTCTGCACTCTGAAGGAGGGGGTGTTAATGTTGCAGTTTTATAACTGTAGTATAGGCATGCCTTTGGCAAGACAGTGATGGAATGAATGACGATGAAAGTTTTTCTTTATCGGGCCACCCTGCCTTGGTGGGAAACGGTCAATGTGTTAATAAAAAATAAAATATATATATATATATATTTTTTAACACATAGGCCATTTCCCACTGAGGCAGGGTGACCCAAAAAGAAAGAAAAACCCAAAAAGAAAGAAAAAACTTTCATCATTCAACACTTTCACCATCACTCACACATAATCACTGTCTTTGCAGAGGTGCTCAGATACGACAGTTCAGAATTACATCCCACCAAACTACCAATATCCTAAACCCCTCCTTTAAAGTGCAGGCATTGTACTTCCCATTTCCAGGACTCAAGTCCAGCTAACCAGTTTCCCTGAATCCCTTCACAAAATATTACCCTGCTCACACTCTAACAGCTCATCAGGTCCCAAAACCCATTCGTCTTGATTCAATCCTATTTAACTCGCTCACACACGCTTGCTGGAAGTCCAAGTCCCTCACCCACAAAATTTTCTTTACCCCCCCCTCCAACCTTTTCAGGGATGACTCCTACCCTGCCTTCCTTCCCCAATAGATTTATACACTCTCCAAGCCATTCTACTTTGTTCCATTCTCTCTAAATGACCAAACCACATCAACAGTCCTCTGACTAATACTTTTAGTAACTCCACACCTTCTCCTAATTTCCACACTACGAATTCTCTGCATAATATTTACACCACACACATTGCCCTTAGAAACAACATCTCCACTGCCTCCAGCTGCCTCCTCGTCGCAGCATTTACAATCTATGCTTCACACCCATACATGTATAAGAGTGTTGGTACCACTATACTCTCATACACTCCCTTCTTTGCCTCCATGGATAACATTCTTTGTATTTGCATTTATGGATTTAGAAAAGGCATATGATAGAGTGGATAGGGGAGCAATGTGGCAGATGTTGCGAGTGTATGAAATAGGTAGTAAGTTATGAAATGCTGCAAAGAGTGTTTATGAGAATAGTGAAGCTCAGGTTAGGGTGTGTAGGAGAGAGGGAGATTACTTTCCAGCAAAAGTAGGACTTAGACAGGGATGTGTAATGTCACAATGGTTGTTTAACATATTTATAGATGGGGTTGTAAAAGAAGTAAATGCTACAGTGTTTGGGAGAGGGGTGGGATTAAATTATGGGGAATCAAATACAAAATGGGAGTTGATGCAGTTACTTTTTGCTGATGATACTGTGCTTTTGGGGGATTCTAAAGAATAGTTGCAAAGGTTAGTGGATGAGTTTGGGAGTGTGTGTAAAGGTAGAAAGCTGAAAGTGAACATAGATAAGAGTAAGGTGATAAGGCTATCAAATGATTTAAGTAGAGAAAAACTGGATATCACATTGGAGAGAGGGAGTATGGAAGTGAAATATTTTTTTTATCTTACAGTAAGTGGTGAATATATTTATTGTAGGAAGTCCGAATAAATGAAGAACGGGTATAATTAAAAATCGCTGTATTAGGGAAATGCTGTAAAGCAAAGTGCTGGAAAGTGGGGCCTGCCTGTATCCCAATAATTGAATCAGACCTATTAGAAGCCCAGAAAACAGACCAGGGGGTGAAGGGGGAGCCTTTCCCATCCTCAGAAAAATTGGCAAAAATCAAATATTTCTGTTATATTGAGTCCAGTTTCAGGCTGAAACTAACAAAAATCATCTCTATTTCAGTAATGTATCTTCCAATCAAATCAAATGATACCAAGAAACAGCCAATAAAACCATAAAAACCATGCTAGAAAACACCTCAGAGTAACTATTATAAACCAAACACGTAGTCAGCGTTTTCCTTTTCCCATTACACACTGCATGGGGCAGGATTTTTTTTTTTATACTGTGCACACTCACGGCACAGACCCATTCTGTCATATCTACAAAATTTATTGCTCACAGCTTGTGAGTGTGCTGAATTCATAAAGATAAAGATTTTATTTCTTTGCAAAGGTTACAATGAGTAATTACATTTTTGATTTATTAAGTACAGTGGACCCTTCGTTTTCGTGTTTAATCTGTTCCAGAGCCATAGGTCAAAATTGAAATCAGCCAAAACTGAAACCATTTTCCCCATAAGAAATAATGTAAATGGAATTAATCCGTTTCAGACACCCAGAAGTATCAACAAAAAAAAAATTTTTACCTTAAAGATAGTTGTTGTTGCTGGAAGGAAGGCAGGGAGGAGGGAAGAGGGAAGATAGGCTATTGAATCTCCCTCCATAAGGGTTCTAAATACCAAGTCCTTACCTGGGATCACTTCCCTCCTTTGTTTTTTACTGTCACTAGGACCAGCTTGAGAGTCACTTGGACCCCTGTCACACAAAATATCTGTCCAGATAGGTCTGTTTCTGGGGGTGTCTTTAAGATTTGCCTAAAATGGGACATGCCATTGTCATTGTAAAAGTCACCAGCATGGATTACAACAGCTTTCTCAGGGTGATGTTCCTCCACAAATGAATACACTTTAGTCCACATTGCACAAATTTCCTTAATCTTTGAAGAAGGCACCTTCTTCCATCTTTCTTCCTCCTCCTCTGAAGCAATTTCCTCAGCTGTGGTCTGTTGCTGTTGCAGATGAAGCTCTTGCAGCTCATCAGTGGTTAGCTCTTCATTGTGGTCCTCCACTAACTCTTCCACATCCTGGCCACTCACATCCAACCCCATGGAATTCCCCAATGCCACAATTGATTGCACAACAGGTGTAGGGTCAACTGGGTCAGCCTCAAACCCTTCAAAATCCTTCTTTTGGACACAATCTGGGCACAATTTTCTCCAAGCAGAGTTCATCATCCTGGAAGTCACTCCCTGCCTAGCCTTATCTATAAGGCCTATGCAGTGGAAGATATTGAAGTGATTTTTCCAGAACTCTCTTAGGGTCAATGCAGATTCCGAGGTCATGTCAAAGTACCTTTGAAACATTGCTTTGGTGTAAAGTTTCTTGAAGTTTGCAATGCTCTGCTGGTCCATGGGCTGGAGGAGAGGAGTGGTGTTACAAGGCAAGAACTTCACTGTTACAAAACTGAATTCCGTAGACAATTGGTCTTCCAAGTCTGGAGGATGAGCAGGAGCACTGTCCATTAACAGGAGGCACTGGAGTGGCAATTTATTATCCAGGAGGTATTTCTTCACACTCAAGCCAAACATTTCATTAAACCATTCCAGGAAAACTTCCCTAGTGACCCATGCCCTACTGTTTGCCTTCCACATCACACACAATTTACTCTTCACATCACTGTTTTTCTTGAACACTCTGGGATTTTCAGAGTGATACACCAGTAAAGACTTCACTTTGAAATCCCCACTAGCATTACCACACAACAGGAGAGTTAGTCTGTCTTTCATAGGCTTGTGTCCTGGCAGTGCCTTTTCCTCCTGCATGATGTAGGTCCACTTTGGCATTTTCTTCCAAAAGAGGCCTGTTTCATCACAATTGAACACTTGTTGGGGTTGGAATTTTTCAGACTACATAACATTTGAATTCCCGCACGAATTTTTCAGCCGCTTGTTTGTCTGAACTGGCACCCTCACCGTGCCTTACGAAACACTGTATGCCACTTCACTTCTTGAATTTTTCAAACCAGCCTGTGCTGGCCTTGAATTCACTTTCATCACCACTTGTTTCAGGCAGTTTCTTTATGAGATCCTCATGCAACTGCCTTGCCTTTTCACAAATAATGGACTGCACAACACTATCTCCTCCTAACTTTCTCTGATCCACAAACAACAACAATTTCTCCACTTCTTCACTTGTTTGGGATCTCTGTTTGGTTATTGCATTTACCCCTTTTGCAACATCAGCTTCCATGATTTCTTTTCTCTTTGCCACAATGGAGGTGATTGTTGATGGTGACTTCCCGTACATCCTGCCTAGTTCAGCGATGCGTATGCCACTATCATATTTTCTTAGGATTTCTTTTTCACTAGGAGCTTTCTTTGGGGCCGTGGTCGCTTATTTAGCAGCCACACATGATAAACATGTGACATATGAAATGTTTCGTATGACCTGGCAGAATATGTTCACTCACCGAGAAACAACGCTACACTGGCTGAGAATGTGTGTAGGAGGCGGCTTTGTCTGCATGCTGGGCACTGGACAGGTTCTGCGCGATCGATGAAAACGGAGGTAATCGATGAAAAGGGAAGCCAAAAATCAACGAAAAAAGTCGGCCAAAACCGAAATCGGTGATAACGGAGATCGAGAAAACCCGAGGTTCCACCGTACAAAGAAAGCCACTATCATGCCAGGGCATTTCAGGAGGACTAATCCTAATGTAGAACCATGTGAGGGACCCCTGGCTTCAATTATGTAGTTCTAAATGGCGGAAACTGAAAGGATTGCACAAATAACCCGCACATAGAAGGGAGGAGCTTACAACGATGTTTCGGTCCGACTTGGACCATTTACAAAGTCAGTGTGACTTTGTAAATGGTCCACGTTGGACCAAAACGTTGCTGTAAGCTCCTCTCTTCTATGTGCAGGTTATTTGTGTATTGTTCCAATCACGGTATTGCGCCTTTTTTGTAATTTACTGAAAGGGTTAGTTCATACATGGGAAAGTCTTGTAAAGTGTAAAAAAATATATACAAGGCTAGCAAAAACATGAAAATAAAATATTTTATTAATGTGAGAAATAAAATAACCTGTCTATCTTTTCTCAAAGTCAAATAGGTAAAAATTCTATTAAAATTTAGTATCTCGGTGGGAGACGGCCGACTTGTTGAAAAAAAAAAAAAATCTCTAGCATCAAAAAAGCAGGCCCAAAATGCATAACATTAAGTTGCATATAAGTATAAATATCAAGAGAAAATTACTGTGATATAATTACAGAAAATGAAAAATATACTGTTATTATATATACCTTGATTGTGTTGCATATCATTCTCTTCTACTAGTACTTGGTCACCTTGCTCAATGTCAAGTAAGAGTCCATTCTCATGACCTACAACATGTACTGGTAGTGTTCCGTTAGCTTTGCTCTTCTTGCTTGGTGTTGATGCAACAACTTTGTGCAGGTGACCACTGATTTCTGAATCACTTGTTTTACCAACTCTGTGAGCAAGAAACATGAGTATATAGTCATATTTACCAATGGCTACTCTCATCTTTTCAACTTTTTTGGAAATTAGCAATTTATTTTAAACTCAACTGGTCATGACAGGAAATACTTATACACTAACTTCAAAAAGACTTCATCCATAGTAGTCTGAGATGCACCAAAACTGGAAATTTTCAGGTCTTTTTTCTGCTTTTCAAGATGAAGGAATAAATTTTCAAATTTTGCCACATCAGCATTTGGAAGTACATAGGAGAGCTCTGCTCCAACATTCTGGTCCAGTTCAACATCAGGAATGTGAGCCTTTAACACATCAGTAATTGCATGAACATCACATCCCTTCTCCTTAACTAAAATGAGATGATACCCAGCACCTATAAACAAAGAAATTAGTAAAATTTACAAATAAATCCAAGTTTAAAGGTCTTAATTTCATTAACTAGTAATTAATATCTGAACTGTTTCTTTAACTCCATAGAAGACCACATGAAACCAAGAGGAAGTTAGTGAATATAGGCCTTTTTAACTAAAATAATAAAAAAAAAGAGTGGTTACATTTATTATGCAGCTTGTTCTTGTTGCCCAATATACATATACTATACAGTTACTGTAAAAAAAAATATATAGAAATACTGATTCTTTTATTTCCTGGATCCACTAAATATTTCCTGCAATTTCATACTTCATATTATACTGCCATGAGCTTATACATAAAAGGGCAATAATACCTTTTAAGAAACTAATGAAGCAAATAAATTTGATAGAATTTTTGAGTTATTAATGTATTTATCTTCAGTACAGTTCTGTTTTACTTATGAGTTAATCTGGATGGTTTAACACCTAGGACATCTTGTGCACATAAACCTGGAATATGGTAGACACATTAATAAAAAAATCTAAAGTTTGTTTACATATAACAGAGATTGACAAAGATGCCTAGTTAGTCTACATTCTGAACAAAAATTAATAATGTTTGTTAATTCTTCTTTCTTTCAACAAACTGACTGTATCCCACCAAGGCAGGGTGGCCCAAAAACAAAAGTTTATCTTTTTAAATTTAGTAATGTATACAGGAGAAGGGGTTACTAGCCCCTTGCTCCTGGCATGTTAGTCACCTCTCATGACATGCATGGCTTACGGAGGAAGATTTCTGTTCCACTTCCCCGTGGAGATAAGAGGAAATAAACAAGAACAAGAACTCGTAACAAAATAGAAGAAAACCCAGAGGGGTGTGTATATATATATACTTGCATGTGCATGTGTAGTGTGACCTAAGTGTAAGTAGAAGTAGCAAGACGTACCTGAAATCTTGCATGTTTATGAGACAGAAAAAAGACACCAGCAATCTTACCATCATGTAAAATAATTACAGGCTTCTGTTTAATGCTTACTTGGCAGGACGACAGTACTTCCCTGGGAGTTTGTTAATTACCTCTCATAATTTTTTAGGGCCATAAATTGGAGTATTTCTCCACATGACATTTAAATTTAATTTTATTGTTAATACTGTATGTTTGATCGCACACAAACACCAAAACATCTTTCTGGGATGGGAACCTCGAGTGGCTCACTTGGAATATGTCACTCATTCATCTCAACTCTCCACTCTGAGCCCCAGTAAGGCCCATCATACACTTTATGCTCAGAAGAGAGGCATCCCTTTGTCATAGCTGGCATGTCAATGCTGGCCTATTGCACCTGGCACCAGCAAGGATCCCAGCAGAGCTCGAAGACCCAAGTGTTTTTTAACCTGACAATATAGTGTAGACGATGATGTAATAATCTCTCATTCATACGTTTTCAGCAGTTGCTTTAGTTTGCTGAGTCCATTGGGCTTTGTAGCTGCTCTTCAAAAATCTCTGTTCAGGATAGCCTTTACCTCTGTCCAACTGGCACTGTGATGGCTGTGCTGCCTTCACTGACTGCTATGCAGTAGCTCATTTGCAAGATTGAATTCTTATGAGTGCCTGGTATAGAAAGAATCTTCTGTTGTTGGTTGTATGGCACTGGGGGAGGGGGGGGTGCCTCTTCTTATTCATGGGCTAGAAATGGTCATTACCTCCTTTAGTGAGTCCAGCATTCATCAAGAGGAAGCAGGTCTCAGCTTCCTTGGCCCCTGAATGTGAGGCATTGTCACTGACCAGGCAGCAGGGTGTTGATCTCTGAAACACCCTCCAGGTATACTCTTACATTTTTACAAGGTACTGAAGGGTCCTGTGGGATATCTGGATCCAAGATTCTTCAAGGATAATGTCCTTTTTAACCATCTATAGTAGCTTTACTATCTAACAAATGGTTGATGATAAGTCAGCAGCTCAAATAAGCTCTTAAACTGCTATGCCTGCCTGCCTGCCACAGTCTTCCTTACCTGATGCTCTGGAATTGCAAGAGCCTCAAAGCTTTCTGCAGAAAGTCTATTTTTCCATACCTCTGGGTAACCCCTTGCAATAATTTGTCTTCCTGTTCTTAGACCAGCAGGGTCTACTCTCTGTGGCCCCCCTTAATGTTTCCCCATCCCAGAACAGAAGTTGTTAACCAATGAAGGGAAAGAAACTTGGTCGACCTGAGTATTCCTAGATAATTTCCTTACTCTTTTTTATTACTTAGAAGTCCAGTTATTCTTCTAGGAAATCTTTCCCATTTGTCACATGTATTTATTCTCTGTCCCTTCAGCAATTTCTAAGCACCTGTCTCCCACTGTCACAAATCTTCTTTAGGATAGCATGAAGTGGGTATGACAAAGATCCAAGATTCATTTCCAGGGTTTTCCTTCTACAGAATAGGAAATCCTGTCTCTTTCTGGATCATGATGATCTGAAATTTCACATAATCTATATGGTTTGGGTCAGAATCTATCACCTGAGTTCACTATTTCCTGGTTCAGTCTGGGTTGGCAGCCACAATTACCCTCCACAAGGCCTCCACTTATATTTCAAATCATTGCAACCTGCACAAGTTCTACTTTCACCTGGATGGAATAAGCTACCAGTTCGTGGCTGTGTCTTTCAGATTCAAGACAGCACCAAGGACTATTATCTACATCTGTTGGCCTCATATTTGCACCCTCTATACTAAGACTGTGTCAGTATTCATCTATCTGGAAAACATTCTAGTAATTAGCTCATCTCCTTTCACACCTAAAGATCATTAGATGGCACTCTGGGTGTTACAGATGATTGGCTTCCTCATCAACTATGAGAAATCTTGACTTATTCCCAGAACTTCCTGCAGTGGTTATATGTGCAATATTTATTACAGCAGAAACTGAAAAACCTGTAGAAGACTTACAGCACCCATGGAATGGGAATTAATCAGGTCTGATCAAAAGGGAGAGCAGCTTTAATTCCTTGAATTAAGAGCTCTTCGCCATCATGGCACCCCCCCTCACACCCCTTAAAGGGGGTTACTGGCAGAGTTCAAATGCCCCCCATCTCCACCTCTCCATCCCTACTGAGAAGCAGTTTTTTCTTCTATGTCAGATTCATTATTTGTCTAGACCACTGACTTTCAAATGTGCAATGGAGTCCATCATTAAGAGATTATTTTTCATGACTTCAACTTTCTTACTCAGCCCACAATCTGTCTTGGGTGGTGCCACCAATTGGAATGTCACAAGGACATGTTTCTCTTTCTCCCACAAGAAGCTATGGAAGACCCTTCAGTACTGGCTGATCAGGGGAACCTTTGGGGTCTGATTCCCATGACCTTACCCATACCGTTTATTTATTTATTTATAATTAATTTGGACATGATACATAGATGTACAAAGAAATACAGTGGTTCTGAGAACATGCCAAAAGCCCCTTGTATGCAGAGCATTATGGGCAGGCTTAAAATTAACTTAATATTAACTAAGCAATGATATATTCAGTGGTAAAAATTACAGTAAACAACAATTAAGCACAAATGAATATTTCAAAGACAGATCATATGGTCATTTGATGAGTTACTGTACATTCAAGAGAATGGAGTATTCTATTAGGTAATGTAATTAAAAAGAACAAAGTTTGACAGGGTCACAGGTTATAATTTATGAGATACAGTTATGCAGTATTTATTTAGTTGTGGGTGAGTAAGTGGTTCTTAAGAAGAGACTTGAATTTATAAACAGACAGTGTTTCTTTAATGTTCACAGTCAATGAATTCCAGATTTTTGGGTCTTTTATGTGCATGGAGTTTTTGCATAGTGTGAGATGGACACGAGGAACATCAAAGAGTGATCTGTGCCTTGTGTTATGGTCATGTGTTCTGTTGAGGTTGGTAAGGAGATGTTTGAGGGGAGGGTTTATATCAGAGTTAAGTGTTCTATGCATGTAGTAGATAAAATAATAAGTATGGATGTTTTGTATGGTGAGTAGGTTTAGAGTTTTGAATATTGGTGGAGTGTGCTGCCTGTAGTGGGAATTTGTTATCATTCTGACTGCAGCCTTTTGTTGGGTAATTAATGGTCTGAGATGGTTTATTGTTGTTGAGCCCCATGCATAAATTCCATAGGTGAGATAGGGGTAAATGAGTGAGTGATATAGGGCCAGGAGGGCTGACTGTGGAAGATAGTACTGTGTCTTCGATAGTATGCTTACGGTCTTGGAAATTTTCTTGGAAATTTGTTGTACATATGTTTGAAATTTGAGCCTATTATCAAGGTGGATTCCTAAGAATTTTCCCTCTGTGAGCTTTGTGATAGGTGATCCGTTTATCATTATGTTAAGAGGGACATCTGTAGCTCTGTTACCAAACTGAATGAAGTAGGTTTTGTCAATGTTGAGAGTAAGTTTGTTAGTCATCATCCAGGTAGATATTTTCTGTAATTTGGTATTTACAGTATTGGCTAGCATGACTGGGCTCGGGTGAGAGAAGACATATGTAATGTCATCTGCAAATAGTGTGGGTTTGAGTAGTTGCGATGCATTTGGTAGGTCGTTTATGTAAATGAGAAAGAGAAGAGGGCGAAGGACACTTCCCTGTGGGACACCAACTGTAACTGGCTGTGTGGAAGAGTTTGCTCCATTTGTGCACACATATTGGCTTCTGTTGCTGAGGCATGACTTTAGGTAGTTGAGGGAGTGCCCTCTTATACCATAGTGTGACAATTTCATGTAGAGCAAGTCATGGTCAACTGTATAAAAAGCTTTACGTAAATCATTGAAGATCCCCAGTGGGATTTCTTTTTTCTCGAGTGTTTGTTCTGAAGGCTGGTATGATATTCTCAGTGTGTACTCTCTGGATGCAGGAATTTGTCATCCTTATACTATGTCTGGTGAACTGAAAGGAACTCAAGGTAGTTTAAATGGCAGTATTACCCTGGGGACTCAATTGGACAGCCACACAGCCCTTAACCAGCTTTGAAGACCTGACTCTAAAACATCAGCTACCC